CTTGTTGACATTTATATGTTAATAAAACTACTTCCTAATTAACTCTCTCTCTCTCTCTCTCTCTCTCTCTCTCTCTCTCTCTCTCTCTTTCACACTTTACATTAGGAAGAGAAAGGATAGGTGTTTTCGTGTGTTGCAAGTTTATTTATAAAAAGAAAAAAAAAAACGAAGGCAGAAAAGCAAGAAAACGCGGAAATAGATTAGATGAGAACTTTGCTTTTTTCTTTTTTTTTCTTTTTTTAATCCATATAAAAATAAAACTCACAAAATTCTATTTCTTTTGCTCGTATTGTTTAAATACATTGCATAACGTTTCTGTGCGCGCATAAATATATGTATATATATAATTATCTATATGTTTATACGCGGAATAATAATATATTTAAAATACTAATAATAATAATAATAATAATAATAATAATAATAATTAATAACTAATAGTAAATATGATATATGACGATATTTCTTTTTTCTTCATCATCATCATAATCATCATAATCATCATAATCTTTATCTTCATCTTCTTCTTCTTCCTCTTTCGCGAGTCATAAAAAACGAGAAAAATATTAAGAAAAATCATCGATATCTTCGAATATCAATTTTCTTCTCTTATATTTCATTGCCTCTTTCTTTTTTTTATTATGTTGCATTTGCATGTTGCACGTTTGTTTGTTTATTTTTTTTTTTTATCTTCAATAGCTCTATCTTACATATTGTTTTTCTCTTTCTTTCTTTTTTTTCTTTTCTTTTTTTTAAAAGTAAACTTAAACATTTTCTTTTTTCTTCTTTTTTAATCGATTTACTTTACACCCCCACCACAATGCCACTTTTGTAATCATCAAGAACTTATGCTAATTCGAATTCGTGACCGTGCGATGATAATTATATTTCTTCGATTAAAATTCTATTAGATTTTTGTTTATAATTAATTTTATATATATTAAAAACTCCTGTCGATAAGTTAGAAATATATATATATACATATATATACATATATGTATATGTATATATGTATATAGATATATTTTCTCTATGTATATATATATACGTATGTTTATTTAAATATACATAAAAATATGAAACTAAACAAATACGTATATAGAATCGATGTAAGGAGATTTAAATGTTGTTTGAATCCTTTCAAAAGATTAACATACGCAGTCACATAATTAACACTTTATTACAAGATAAGGAGACTTGATTATTGTCTCTATCTTTGTTTCATCTTTGTCTCTTTGTATTTTATAAATTATTTCACGAGCAACACATTTTTCCGTGCATACGTATAAAATTATCATTCCGTCGTCTTTTATTATTGTTCCAACCAACCGGTCAATCACACACGAGTTTTTAATCACATTTAAAAAAAATATTTAATATATTTCTCTATTAACGATTATTAATTAAAGGAAAAAGAACAAAATTAAACCACACATCGTACTTCTTCCTTTCTCTCTCTCTCTCTCTCTCTCTCTCTCTTTTTCTCGTTCATTCTTATCTTTTTCTTCCCAACATGTTTTCAAGACAAATTTTTAACTCATACGTTCGCAATATACATATATATGTATATATAAAAGTAATCACGTAAAATATCCGAGGAGTCACTGAATGATAAATTTGAGCGACCTTGGGATACTAGGATAATAATCTTGTCTTGTCAGTAAATCCTTAATTCGAATTGGTACGAGTATAAGAAGATACCATATATATATATATATATATGTATATCATTTAAGAATAATTAAAAAAGTTGAATCGAAAAATTCGAAGTGAGAGAATAATAGGKGGGGGGGGGGGGATTGGGTTTAGGATTATGGGACTTGAGGGGGAACAAATGTAGAATGAGAAGAAGGGTCAGAGGGTTTCATGATATAATAATAATATTTCGTTTGAAAATATCTATCGTGCAAATCCGAGAAAATCTGTAAGTCTGTCGTTCCAATCGTAAAGCCAATGAGTTGGCCCGTGACTCTGTTGTCTTTGTTTGCAACACGAATTAGAGTCCTTCTCAATTGGCATATATTCTTCTCCGCGAATACAAAAATAACTTTTTATTGGGCTACGACACATCGGACAACGATCGAGTTTACAGAAACACGATGCACATATGCATGTATGCCTGCACGGTAACAATGCACGTGACAACGGAAAATATTGACAAACAACGCATAGTTGTTCCCCAGCCGTGTTCCAAAACGAACCCTCTGAATCACTATTCCCCGATGCTACTAAAGCACCTCTCGTTGAACTTCCATTATTGTTGCAGGGCTCGGCCAATGCCAATGCTGGCCCTAATCCTGATGACACTTCACCCTCGTCGTAATTCGTTGAGTTCCCGGTTGCCAAATAGAGTTGCTACAAATTTTTATTATTATTCGTTAAAGAAATATAGAGATAATCTGATATATATATATATATGATACCGTGAAAGATCGAAATTGGTGAATGTCAAGATTCTTCACATGATCGTTTTTCAAAACATAACAAATAGGTCGGTGAAAGACTGAATATTTTTGTAAATTTTATTTTATTTTTATAAATTAATATATTGGACATACACCAAGTGACCATGTGAAGAATCTTGACATTCTTCATGCTAATATATATATATATATATATAAATATTAAATATTAATATTTAATAAAATAATTGTTTCATATTATTCTCGAGGTTGTGTTCGTTAAAAAAATTTGAAAAGTCTAGATCTATACGAATAATCCATTATCACATCTCCGATTAATTATAAATTGAATGTAGGTAAGAAACAAGCATGGAAAATAAATCTATCTTCTTGATCGTTTAAAAGACAAAAAATCCAATAAAAATCGAGTAAACAAACCTTAAGGCAAGATAATTGTCCATTGGCTTGTTTTAAATACTGTGCCAGTATCGAAGTTGGTAACGTGCATACGTTATCCTTGATATGGACGACATTCACCAAAGCAACCTGTATAACAAAAAAAACGAAAAAAAAAGAATGTATTCAAACGTAATAATTAATCCATATATAAATAAATATAAGAGGCAAAAAAAAACAAAATAATTTTCTTACTTTTATACAATCGTTGAAGGATATAAATAGAAAAATAATCATGGAACGAGATTCGAATAAAAAAAAAAAAAACAAAAAGAAAAGAAAGAAAAATGAGAACTAGATCTGTGAAAAAATTATTTTCAAGAATTCATAACACGTGGAAAGTAACACGATATATTGTATTTTAATAAAAAAAATATATATATATGAGTTATACTGATCATTAGTACTTACAGTTTCATCGGGATGTGGATCACCATTATCTCTACGTGTTAGAAAGATTACTAACGGATAACAAAGTCGTGGTGGTGTTCCCAGTTCTAATTCTGGTGCCGGAAGCGATAATCTCAATGTTTCTTCTCCGTGAGATTGTCTACTATATTTAATCGGTTAAGAAAATTCTAGTTAATATTTCTGAGGGCAATGAATTGTCTTTTTCCTTATTTTTGTTTTTTTTTTTTTTTGTTTTTCTTTTCTTCACAAATTTATAACATCAATTTATTTTTTTTTTATTGAAACGAATCACGCGTTCAAATATTAATATTCTTTATTTAAAAATTGAATTATCTGCGGTAAGATTTAGAAAAAAATTAAATGACGAATCATTTCTATTTTAAAATTAAACAATTGATTTTAACTTTCTCCTGTTCCCCCCTTTCTTTTACTAATTATTCACTCGACGAGAAATTTCTTTGAAATTAAACAACACGGCACGTATCTAAATATTTCTTTGATGTCTTTTTTTTTTTTTTTTCCATAAATATAATTTATTCGTCACGTTTAAAACAAATAAATTATACGGTTATGCGTATTAAAATTTTTCAATTGGAAAGTTAAACGTGAAATTTTTTTCTATAAGATGTTTAAACATATTTTGTTAACGTGCAATTAGCATTTAAAAAAAAATACAAACGAACGAAATTTGACGTTTCAGGAATATTCATTCAAAATTACAACGATAAAATAATATATTATTTAACTTTACTTTCGCGAGAGATAAAACATAAATAAGACGGCGGATAAACGAAAAGAAAAAAGAAAATGAAAAGGAAGATAAAAATTAAAAAAATAAAAAAAGGGCGAATAGAAGTGGACACGAATAATAAAAAAAAAAAATAATGATTTAAAACGTTAGCATTTAAATGTCTCTCGTGCGTTTTGTTTTTGAGCTCTCCTCGTCCTCGTGTGGCCGTGAAAATATGGTTAAAAATAACCAACCGGCGTTGTTTATTCGCGAAACTGCCTTCTGCTAACTTTTACTTTGACTGAACAAACAGTTTCTATCGTTCCTTTTATTTCCTCTTTTAAAGCTAATAAAAGAGCCTATATCTCTGTGATGTATGAAAAGATAAAACGACCAAAATTTATTTCAAATAAATTTAACACAGACAAAAACGTTTCATAGTAGGAGAATCATTTGCAAATTTTTATCATTACAAAAGAAAAAAGATTATACATATACATATGTTTAACATTTAATTTTTTTTTTTTTTTTTAAAAAATACGTTCGTGGGTTCATATTCTTTAAGAATAAATCATCATATGAATAAAAGTTATTCGATCAAACAATTACAAGTGACTATTAATCTTCAACATTTATCTTTTTTTTTCCCCCCCCTTTCTTTCTTTCTTCATACCGTATGCACGTATCTCTCGTGAAATAAATTACGTACAAAATAAAATAAAAAAAATAAAAAACAGAAAGGAAAAAAACACTTGACAGTAATCCCCATTGCTCGGGGACAATTTAAAAATTCATTTGACTTATTACGATAGGGAATTTTATTTCGTAGTTAAAAAACACAAATGAAAATAATGTTTTAAAAGAGATCTAATCGAACGAATACAGATAATACAATCTTTAAATAGATACGACGATAAATACTCTGCCACAAAAAAATTCACAACATTTAAAAACGAATGTGAAAATGAACGAAATGATATAAAATAATATAAATGTAAATGCAATTACTGATAAATGATAATAATAATAATAATAATAATAATGATGATTAACATATAAAAGGATACGTTTGTGGTGGTGTTAAATATTGAGCGTGGCTTTGAAGAAGCGTGCCATTCAAGGACGCTTCTCTGAGATTGCTCCAGGGTTTCCAAAGGGCCAAGTGAAGTTCCCTTATGCTGACACCCCACATTGCTTGCAGTGAGTACTCAACTTGACTGGATACTTCGCACTCGACTTCTGAAACAGAGTAAATTTTTTCGTTACATTTTTCTTATATTCCTCTCTTCCTCTTCTTCATCTTCTTCTTTTTTTTCTTCTTCATCTTCTTCATCTTGTTTATCTTCTTTTTTTCTCTCTCTTATTTTCACTCTTTTTATCTTACTTTCTTTTACTTTCTACTTTCCTTTCTTTTACTTCTTCTTCTTCTTCTTCATCTTCATCATCTTCTTCTTCTTCTTCTTTTTCTTCTTCTACTTCTACTTTTATTTGCTTCTTTTTTTTTTCTTTTTTGTCAAGAATAATTAAAAACTAGGACGAGTATTTTTTAAAAGAGTGACTTCACTTTGATCTTTGTTACCTTACCTCGATGACAAGCATGAGAAACTGAAAACAGTTTTTCCATGTAAGTCAGTCTCCGCTAAAAATGATCTTAAAATAGGTCTAGGAGAATTAGAATTTTTATTCGACTATTTGTCAAAGAATATATAGTTTTCTATTATTATATATTATTAATATATATTATGTTTAATTTAAAGATATATATATATTTGTAATTAAGTTTGTTAATTTTAATTAAAATTCAATCAAATTTCATAAATAATAAAATATTTCAAAAATGTGATAAATGTATAAAGAAAAAAGAAATACAAATATCCTATTCTTACAAATGAATAAAATAAAAAGAAGGCACTTAGATCGATTTTAAAATTATTTGCAATAATTAATATGATTTTTTTTTTCTTTTTTTTTTTTTTATAATAAATACACGAGTATAGAGAGCCACACATAATGGAGACGATGTTATACGTTTGAAATATATATCACAGATGATTTATTATCGCGTATTATCAACGCGATAATAACATTGGTTTTGTTTTTGTTGTTGTTGTTGTTGTTGTTGTTGTTGGTTGGTTGATTGGTTGTTTGATTGATCATTTTACGTACCCCTTCGTGGCATTGTCAATCGATGTTTTCTTTAGTATTCCATAGTCTTGGATTTAATCCGTCTTCTTTTATATGCATTCCTTTTATCTTCATTATCCAAGTGCCTTTAAAGAAACACAATCACACATGAGTAGAAGCTACCATGCGTTTATAATATACTCACTAATCACATGGGAAAGGACTTCTAAACGTTTCATCTCTCATAATTTATCGATGCCTCGTAAATAATTTTAATTAAACACACGTGTTAAAACACGATTTGCATTGCAACGTACATTAACGTGCAATTTTTCAACTAATGTCAAATTTTTCATAATAATTGCATTTTCTTTTTTCTTATATATACACGGATACGTTACAATCTTCGATCTTACAATTAGATGAAATTTTGATAACAATTATAATGTACACAAAGCTAAGAAAGTTTTTCGATAATCTCTAACATGTTTTTTGTGATTTGTTTTGTTCTTTTTTTCTTAAAATTAATTATATATTTATATATATATATTTTTTTTTGGTAATCTACGAACAACTACGTCATTAAATAAAAATTAATTTATTGCGATTGGTAGAGAGATAAGTTGTTTATTTCTTTTTCTTTTTTTCTTTATTTTTTCAGAAGAATTTCTTGTGTTTCTTTTTTGGACAATTCTATAAAACGAAATGTAATTCGACTTGTTTTCTATGATAATTTTGATTTATATTATATTCAATCGGAACGTACAATTTATAAACTTTTCAATGATTCTGTATAATAAGAAAAATAAAATACAAATGATCAAGTCATCTTATTTTTATTTTCTAACTTAAAGACACAAATAAAACATTGTATTTAATTGTAATATTTTCCTTGTCTGTAATTTGAATGTTAATAGCTATTTCGAACTCGATAATCACTTATCCACGTATATTATATTAGAGTAGATCGATCATTGAATTTTTTCTTTCTTTCTCTCTATCTTTATCTCTTTTTTTTTTTATACCTACGTATGAATAAATAATCGACGTTAAAGTAAAAAGAAAGAAAGAAAAAAAAAACAAAACAAATTTATTTGAATAAATAGTTTCCTTATCGACTATAGGCATTGAATTAATTATCATATTATTTCATATTAATTTCAATACCGATCTCTCGAATATTGATTATTACTTTTTACACGTGAGTAAAAAATTGGTACAAAGATAAAAGAGAGAAGAAATTATTGAAAAATAATAATAATAAAAAGAGAAAGAAATCAAAAGGAAAGATGATCCATTTGTAATTTAAAAAATTCTCTTCTTCGTCTTATTCATCATCATCATCATCATCATTCATATTTCTTGCGGTAATTTAAAATATAAATATTAATACAATTTTCTCTTTTTCTATGTAAAATTCTAAACAGTTACGTTTACAGTTTTAAATTCTAACCATTTGTTTCCCTCTCTCTCTTTCCTCTTATTATTATTATTTTTTTTTTCTCTTTTTTTCTTTTCTTTGTATTATCAATATGTTTCTCTTTACGTTGTTTTATATTAGCAAGAATTTAAAGATTTTTCGAAGAATAATATAAGCAATGACTAACGTGACATTTTTCTATTCTTCGTAATAATTAACAGTACGTAATTATATGATAAATGATTTGGCAAAGTAAAACAGTGAATAATTTGCATTAATAATAAAAGCAAATTATTTGAATAATTATATTCCTCGCGGTTTGACAAATTAATGAAATCGGCATAATCGATTTTTGATGATTCATTGACCGTATAAGTATACAGAGAAAGAGTTAAACAAAAAGAAAGGTATCATTTTGTTGAGATATAATTTTCATATTCCTTTTATTAATCAAAATGTAAAATAATTTATGTCTCTTTTTATTCTTAACAAAAAAATCTGCTTATTAAAAGTTAATTAATTCTATATTAATTTTCTCTTAACACACTGACGATTTTATTCGCTATTATATGTAAGTTAAAAAAAAAAGAAAGTAAAAATAAAAAGAATAATTATTACGAGGCATCGATATTAAGTATATTTCATGGATTACATATATATTTATATATATATATTAAAAAGCATTTTGCGTGATTCAGAGTATTCATTATATTTATAAAAGTGAGTATGTTATATATAAGTTAAGCACGAACTTAACGAACGTAGCTTCTACTTACAGAGTAATTGAATCTATTCGAAAGCACCGAATTTGAATTTAAAAGGAAATACAAATAAAGAAAAATAAATATTATTTTAAAGTAACAATAATTGAGGTTAATTGTTTTTATCATATTATATTCATCATATTTTTGTATATGTTATATTAATCTAATTTTAAATGTTTTATCATTTTATGAAACTAAGTTAGAATATTTAGTTTCAATTGTTTTTAATCTTATTCGCGATTTTTTAATTCGCATGATAATTTTTATGGTAGAAAGTAAACAGAGAGAATTTCGATAGTATTGCTTCGGTATTTTTTTTTGGATGTTTACGAAAGAACGTAGTATCAAAGGAACAAAAAAAAAAGTAAAAGAAAGGATAATGAACGAGCTTAAATACGAGGCCACATGGCGAACGGTGAAAACAGGTACGATTTATGCCTCACATCATAAAATAATACAAACTACGCCATCCATTTTTGGCCTAATTAATGATATTATATCATTTAAAAATATGTATACAACACAAAAAATTTTGTCGTATATCAGTAAAAAAAAAAAAAAAACTGTCATGTCCGTTCTTTCTATTCGGTCGCCATCTTGACGATGACGCCATCTTAAATAAGTGAATAATATTTTGCCGAAAATTCTACGTAAAAACTGATCACGATCATATTAAAAATTATGAAAATTTGAAACAATATAATAAACAAAGATGTGATATATATATAATAAAGGAAACATAATATATGTAGATATATATATATATACACATACATACGATTCGTAGATATTGATTGTTTTAATTAGTTGAAAATGAGTTGTTTGTAAAAAATCAAGCCCGCATTATGCACGTATCTGAGATGACATTTGAAACCAGATGTAAGCTTGCAACATTCCAGAGTATTATATTTAGCACCGACGTGATAAAAAGTGTGAGAAAAGGAGACACAAAAAAAATATAAAAATATATATGGATATCATATCTATTCTATGAAATCGAATATCCATTGGTACGAAGTGTGAGTAATAAAAACTTGATATTTAAAAACAATGGATCGTTACTTTTATTTTCAATGATACACAAAATTATTACAAATAAATCTATATGTAATATTTTAATCGAAAATCGTCATAAAATAATATACGCTATGCGTTCGTATAAATATATTTGGATATATATATATATTCTTATAAATATATATATTTTTATAATAATGATTACGGTATTTTATAAAAAACAAAACAAACAATACTAATGGGAGGTATGGTTTAAATTTCGCGCCAAAGTTTTATTATGAAAAAATATCCGATGGCGATGATGGCGACAATAACGTCAAGGTCAACCAATGGTGTCTCGGTTCTATGGTGACGAGAAAATGAAAGAAATTTATGGTAGCAACGAATATATATATATATACGTGTACATTATCATTTAATAAGGTTTGGTAGACTGTGGCTGACGTAATTCAGCGCAAGAAAACGAGTCAACGCAATATATATAAGAAACCAGTCGAATAAAAGTATCCTTAACGTTTTACGAGTTATCTTTTTCTTTCTCTAGTCTTGTTCACTTCTGACAATGAGTTACCTTTTACTCTACACTATAGTATACTATAAAACGTAACGAATGGATACCTAACGGTTGATTATTATTAAATGTCATTACATAATCAAGAGCTCAGTGTTGCATATAGTTTCTTGACAAGTTCTTTTTATCTATCTCCATCTCTTTTTAATTATGTAAATTTGTTTATTTAGTTTTTCTATTTCTTCTTCTTCTTATTCTTTTATCTTTTCTATTCAAACCAATTGTTATCTATTGTTAATTTTAATTATTATTCTACAAGTGTAAAAAGAAAAAAAAAGAAAACATTTTCGTATTTTTCTTTTTGTATTATCAAGGGATCACTTGCCAATGGATAACTGTATTT